AGTAGCAGCCTTCTCTTCTAGCTCATCACAGTACCTTATTGTAGAGGTTTGCTCTGTAGATGAGGGAGCTACTGCCATTATTGCGGCCTCTATTGTGCATGGGATCTTAGTGTTCGTGCCACAGGACCTCCGCTTCTTTATTAGACTGCTACCTGCTCCTTTTGGGAGGTCTTTCTGGATGTCTAGCTCATCAGCCAATGCACTGTTATCCACACAAGCCTCCTGGTACTCTCTTTCTGTGCTCACCATCTTATCCTGGGTTTCCAGACATGCCTCTGTGCGTCAGACCTGCACATCTACAGAGGTGGGGATCATTCCTCTGGTCTTAGTCTCTAGCTCAGGGGTGGGCAATAATTTTCACAGGGGGCCCACTCCACGAATTTTGGTAAGTCCTCACGGGCCACACATTTCTTATTAATGAAATTACCTCACCATCTATTGTAAAAAGACCCCCATTATGTTCTTTACACAAAGTAATCACACTTAATAACAATTAACTGAATACATGATTATCCAAAGCTTATCTTAGAAGGCAATTTATATTGCAAACCATTTTGTGAACACTTGTAAAAATTGTAATAACAACACTAACGCTAGCTTTTACTTACAACTTATGTTCATTATTAAAATTAAGTGTAAAAGAAGCAATGAAACTCACTCAGTGTGAAGAAGAAAGTCTCTGATGGGCATTAACAAGGGAGGTGAAGTCAGGTGTCATTTCTGTTGTTGCAATGCGGAGCACTGCTGCAAAGTGGTCATCATTGATCCAAGAGCTGTTCTTTGATTTATGGAATTTCATCACAGAAAATGTCTGCTTGCAGATGCAAGTTGATCCGAACGGTACAAGCATCTTTTGGGCACAGAGCCTTGATCTTCGGAAAGTTCTGTTAATTGAGAGATACGTAAAACCTCGGAAGTGACGCTGATTTGAATTGCTCCTCAAGCAATGCATCACACTCCAAGTCAATAAGCTCAAGTTGGAGGTCACTTGGAGTGTTGTCCACAGGCCACATCACATGTGAAAGGGGAGGAGATCAAACCCATGTCATTTTCTATCATTCTAAAATCCTCGAAGCGGCAAGAAAATTCAGCATGCATAGTGAGCAGTAATGACATGTATCTTTCCAGGTTCTGGTCAGATATTGTAATCTGTTGCAAAGTGAGGAAGTGCGTGAACTGCTTGTTTCCAATCTAATGGGGAAAGGAGCAACTTTGTCATGAAAGATTTGACAAGGGAATCCATGTCATGAACAAAAAGCCCCTTACCTTTCAGTTTCGAATTCAGTTCGTTCATGTAACCCATAACATCAATGGCAAAATGCGAAATCAGAGAGCCAGTTCACATCGTTCAATTGAAGGAAAACCACATCTTTTCCTTTCATTTTCAAAAACATATCAATCTCTGCTCTCAGATCCCACATTCTTTTCAGAACTTTCCCCAACCTAAGCCATCTAACATTTGTATGGTACTGAACATCCCTGAGCTCTGACTCAGACTCCTCCAGCAGAAAGACAAATTGCCTGAGGTTTTAATGCTCGTTCTCCAATAAAGTTGACCAGTTTTGTAATTGTATCCACAACATTGCTTAATTTCAGAACACTTTTGCAGAGGACCTCTTGGTGAATAATACAATGTAGAAAAATGATTTTCTGCTCTGGGTTTGTTTCTGTCACTTGGTCTTGTATTCTTTTCAATAATCCAACGTTTTTGCCTGTCGATTCCAGGCTTCCATCAGTGGTACACTCACCAATTTCTTCCACTCCAATCCCAATTTTGAGACACTTATTTACTGCCTCCAGTAGATCTTTTCCAGTAGTCATATTTTTCATTGATACCAGTTCTTCTGAGAGTTCAAAATTTGTGGTAATACCTCAAATGAAAATCAACAACTGGGCTGTATCTTTAATGTCACAACTTTTGTTGAATGCCATTGCGAAGTATGAAAAATCATTTACCTTGCTTTTCAACTGTTGGTCCAGGTTCTCCGAGACAATGAAACATTTTTGAACTGCTTTTTCTTGTCTGGGCACAATATCGCAGCAGAGTCAACCAAACATTCCTTGATAAATTCTCCCTCGGAGAATGGTTTGCTGTTTTTGGCGATTTTGTGTACAATCATGTAGCTCGTTCTTATAATTCTGTCTTGTGTTACAGATAGTTTTGTGAAAAAAATTTTGCTCTTTTGCATTCGAGCAACCATCTAATGCGCTTTTCTAACTTTCTCTTCAGCAGACATGTTCTTATATGTGGATGCATGTTTGCTCTCGAAATGCTGGTTTAAGTTGTAGTCTTTGAAAAGTGCCACACTTTGCAATGTAAGCATACAGCTTTCCCTGTCACATCAGTAAAAAACTATTTTGAAGTCCACTCTTTGTTAAATACTTGGAATTCAGCATCTACTTTCCTCTTCTTTGATAAACTGATTTTTAAATTCTACCTCTCCACTGCAGTGCAAATAAAATAATTTGCGCAAAAACTGAAGGCTATTAAGTATTGTTGATTTTGTAGAATGGGGGTTAGGGGAATGTGACAAAGTGCATTTACCTTCTTCTCTTTTTTGGCTTTGATCCTGCAATGAGCTCTGTGAGCAGAGGTGAAAGTAAGCCGGTCCGGTCCAGCGTACCAGTAAGAAAGTGGGCACCGGTACACAGCCGATTGTACCGACAGGGCCACTGATGGCGGCGGGGGGTGGGGGTGGGGGGAACGGGCAGTTGTCCCGGGACCTGGCGATTTAAAAAGGCCTGGGGCTCCTGGCCCCTGGCCCTTAAATTGCTGCCGGAGCCCTGGGGCTGCTGCTGCTACCCCAGGGCTCTGGCGATGATTCAAAGGGCCCAGGGCTCCCGGGCGCCACTACCACGCCAGCGGTTGGAGCCCTGGGCCCTTTAAATCGTCACCTGAGCTCCAAGCCAGATAGCGCTGAAGGGCTGGCTGGGGGAGTCTGGCCCCAGCCCTGCCCCTTTCACCTGAAGCCCCGCCCCTTCCGGAGTCCCACAGCCACCCTGCCACCTTGCCCAGGACCCCAGTTGCCCTGCGTACCGGGAAGTCCATTAAGTTACTTTCACCCTTGTCTATGAGAATGGAGGTCTGCACCAAAACAAAGCGCTATTGACTTTTATTTTGGGCATTCCCCCTAAGGAGTTTGTTGCAGGGTCAGGGCCTTAGTTATTACTAATTTCTGGCTTCATAAAACAACAGAAAAGGAGTACTTGTGGCACCTTAGAGACTAACCAATTTATTTGAGCATGAGCTTTCGTGAGCTACAGCTCACTTCATCAGATGTTTACCGTGGAAACTGCAGCAGACTTTATATACACACAGAGAATATGAAACAATACCTCCTCCCACCCACTGTCCTACTGGTAATAGCTTATCTAAAGTGATCAACAGGTGGGCCATTTCCAGCACAAATCCAGGTTTTCTCACCCTCCACCCCCCCACACAAATTCACTCTAGCACCAGCAGGAGAGTGAATTTGTGTGGGGGGGTGGAGGGTGAGAAAACCTGGTTTGTGCTGGAAATGGCCCACCTGTTGATCCTTTAGATAAGCTATTACCAGCAGGACAGTGGGGTGGGAGGAGGTATTGTTTCATATTCTCTGTGTGTATATAAAGTCTGCTGCAGTTTCCACGGTAAACATCTGATGAAGTGAGCTGTAGCTCACGAAAGCTCATGCTCAAATAAATTGGTTAGTCTCTAAGGTGCCACAAGTACTCCTTTTCTTTTTGCGAATACAGACTAACACGGCTGTTCCTATAAAACAACAGAGTTTTTTGTTCATATACCAGACAAGGAAGATACTTACCAACAACTTAAGACAAATCAGCAAACTCATCAGTGACTAGTATTGTGGGCCTCTGTATTTTTAAAGAGATTAAGTTTAAAATAAATGAATTAAAAAAAACACATTTAAAATTCACGTTATCTTTTAGAAGAAATCCTCTCTTGTGGGACTAGTTAAGTTATGTGTTTTGATGCCTAGCAATACTTGAACTGCTGCAAAGATCACATCATATTTCAAGAATCCTGTAATGAATAGCTCTAAATCCCATGTAAAATGCTGGTTAGGAAGCAGCCCAAACCAGAATCCTTTATTCCATAGAAGTTTGTGACTAAGTAACTGCTACAGTTCTTACTTAAACACTTGATTGTAAATTGTTATGTTGACAGTTTTACAAATGCTGATGTGTGATATAAGTCTGTACACCACTACTGGAAGCCACAGTTGTGGTATTGATTTTATTGTGCCCATAATGATGCGAGTGGCAGTTCTGAAAGCCGACAAGTGATCCGTAGAAGCTGTATATCCAAATGGGTGAGCAATGGTCTGTGGTAGAATAAACAGGGCCCAGTGAAAAGATCCGTAGGCAGTGCTGCCGACAGAATTGCCGGGCCCCTGGGCAAGGGCATTATGCACCTGCCCCAGGAAGGTCCAAGGCATTGTGGGATCAGTGCAGAAATCCACAGGCCCACCAGTGGTTGAACAGAGTGTTGTGTGTAGATATGGTGCACTGTGTGCACCCAAACAAGATGGCTAGTAAGAAGATATTGCCCCATGCAACAGTGCAATTCCCTAGCACAGACAACCCTACACCACTGATAGGATGGTTTTAATATGCTAACGTGCTAACAACGCATAGTTCTAAGATGGGTCTCAAACAAACAATCCCTATCTGCATATGACTTAAACATCATTGTAGCTGGCACAGTTCAGTTCCCACCTCAGAAGAAACCCTAGTCAATCTGAATTTAAAATCACTTGTTAGAAGTGGCCCCTCCACATTCATTTCTTTCTCTTCTATTAAATTACATTTAATTTTCTAGAGGCCAAGAACTGTAACAAAATAATGTTGACCACAGCAGATGTGTATTATGATTATAGTTTTGTGTCATGTCTATATCGCACAGTATTATCTTTGTCCAATCAAATACACACTGTGCTGAGCGTCTTCCTGTCTTCATAGTGGACTTGAAAAATAAAAACCTGTGCTTCTTAATACAGACCGTTGGGAGGGAGCTGCTGCTCCATTTGATAGACTTCCTGGTGACCAACGATCAGAGCGATCCAGTTGTTACAAAGCTAATCGATAGCACGCGGATTCATATCATGCCATCAATGAACCCGGATGGATTTGAAGCTACAACAGTGCATGATTGTTATTACTCAGAAGGAAGGTAAGGATGTGTGTTTTTTCAGGGTGGGGAAGGGGGCAGAGGAGACAGTAAGTAGGGAGGTTGTTGTTTGTTTCATTAACATTTAGAGATAGCCAAGTGGCTGGGTCATACTTGGTGGATAGACTAGCCTAGGAGCTACACTCGGGATATGTTTTGCGCCACAGTCTTTAGAAGGCATACTAAATGGGACACAGGCTTTGCTTTGAAGAAAACTGTCTGACACTGCGTGTGCGAGAGAGCGAGCATGCACATGCATGTGCCCTTGGAGATCAAGGGGCGGGCTGGGGGAGGAGAGAGAACGCCAGCTCTGAACTAGAGAGGAATGATCTTAGTTTTTAAGTGGTTTAACCTTACGTTATTCTGGATTCTGACTCAAAGTACATCTTCTCGGGATCCCCAAAATGCCAAAAAATAAAGACAGTCACAAGGACGTAACTTCAACTGAGAATCTCAAATTTTGAATGCCCTCTGCTCCCAACCCTTCTTTGAGATGAGGTGGAAGATTGAAAACTTAAAATGAATCTGTTTGCTGTGGGGAGGGAAGCATAAATGAATACAATGTTTAACAAGACAAATGCCAAACTGGGCAAAGCCTCCACTCCTCACCTGCCCCACCAAGAAAGAACATTTAAGAATTCACATTAAAACCAGACATTTTATGCACTACAAAAGCACAGTTATTCCACCCCACCCCTAGAGCAGAACACTTACCTTGTTTCAGTTGATTTCTACTCTGGGCCAGTTTTCGGCAAAGATGGAACAGACAGCTATACACGTGTCGGGAGGTGCTATGTAGTGTTTCCTCTAAAGCAGGGCTGACTGTATTCTTACAGCACATCTCCACTGAGAATTTTAGGCAATTCTCTGATGGTTGGTCTAGCACCAGTGTTGCTAGCATAGACTGCCCGCAGCATTTTTACACTTCTGTGTCCGTATTGCTTTTATCCAGTTAAGACAGGATAAAAATATTAGCAGCCACGTTCACACTAGCTGCAGTGGTACTAGATCATTGGCAGGAGAACTGCCACGTTCTCGATGAAGACAAAGCCCTAGGCCCCGTCTATGCTAATGAAAGGCAGAATTACAAAGTAGTATTAAAAAGCAGTCTCAATCATGTGGATGAGGTTGTGCAAACGGAGCTGGCTTCAAGGGAGATTGCACTAATGGTAGCTGGCTCTGTGTGTGTGTAAAGTATTTGATGCCAAAGAAAATGTAAATGTTGTGCCACGTCTGCAAACCTTTGTATGCTCTAGTGTGATTGCTGGTGACCCTGCAGAGACCAAAAATGGCAGAAAATTTTAAAAAGCCAGAGAAAAAAAAAAGACAGGATGGAAAAGTATAAGGGAGAGAAATGCCAAGTGGCAGAGAACAAATTAACAAAGTTGGGAAGGTAGAGAAGAACAAAGTGCCCCATCCTGCAATTCATATTCATGCAAGTAGTCGTGCTGATTGTACCAGGACTACTTGTGTAACTAAGACTAGGGTTCTCTTGGGTCTTTTGCCTTGGCTGTCACAGCTACTTTGGCAACTTAGGGGATTTGGTGCCTTATTGAACTAGAGTAAGCCCTGCTTTTGGATAAGGTAGATTTTTATTCCTGAAACAAGTGGCTAAGATCTTTAAATGGAGGGTGGGATTTTTTTTTCCCATGGGGTGAAGCATCCACAGGATTGATGCTAAGCTGATGAGACTTTTAAAAATTAACACCCAAAGCTAAATATTAATCAGATGGGTAGATTGTCCTCCTAGGGGAGGAAAGAAAGAAAGGAAGAAATGAGCATTTGAACACAGGTTGGAATTTCATACACCGTCAGAAGAAAAAAATGCTTTGGATATCTATAAAGTTTTTATAGCCACATGCTTGGGATGACTGCATTACGACTGGCAGTCATGTGTGAGTCATGTTTTCTTTCTAAAAAAGTGGAAAACAAACCCTTTTATTCCATACACTCTCTTATTTGGCTTATGCAACAATGTTACATTTTACTATGTTTTGGGTGAGGTTTCAAGCATCACTCCTAATGTCTCCACTTGGAAATATTTTAATTACTCTACAGTAATCAGTCCATTGTGGTCAGAGGCTAGTAGCATCCACAATGCGGAATAAAGTCACTATTTCATGATTTGTGAAAACCCAGTTTGTGATGCTCATTGTTTCTATGTACTGTTCCAGTAACTCTGTGCCCAACAGTCACTAACACAGACCCAAAGCATTGTGAATCTACTCAGATGCAACAGATTAACAAATATAGAACTGTTTTTTTTTTCTCAAAAGGTTCAATAAGAATGGGAAAGATCTGAATAGGAATTTCCCTGATGTCTTCAACAGTAACAATGTTACAATCCAGCCAGAGACTCAAGCAGTGATAAATTGGATAAAAAATGAGACGTTTGTTCTTTCAGCTAACTTGCACGGTGGAGCACTGGTTGCCAGTTACACATTTGATAACGGTAACCCAGGTAAGATAATATCCTTGTTTCCTATTTGGGTCCAGTTTTTTCTGCCAGCTTCAGCATGAGCAAAACAAAATGCCTGATGTGGTGAAGAGAAGCACCAGACTTACATGAGCTCAGATGTGTTGGGATACACTGGTAGTACAGTTTCACTGGATCACATAAACTGATGTGTAGGTTTGGGGGCTTAATATTTTTTATCTAAGACAATATTGTGTGTGTGTTAACATTAACTTGGCTTGTACCATGGCCATCTTTATTATACAGCTACTGGCTCTTTACAAGGCTATAGCAGATCCCAAGATGATGATGTTTTCATACACCTTGCAAAAACCTACTCTTCCAACCATGCCAGCATGTACAAAGGGAATGAATGTGGGAATAAACCAGTCTTTCCATATGGCATTACAAATGGGTATGCCTGGTACCAACTGCAAGGTAAAATTTCAGTGTTTTCCAATTTTCTCTGATCTCCACTGCTTTTATTTGATTCTCCAACATGTACTTGCTAACACACCTCTGCATTCCTTGACAGCGAAAGCTCTGTGACTTGTCCACACTAGTGTTTAACTCAAGTGAGCTGATTACGAATTAATTTGAGCTATCCAATGTGTTTGCAGTCTGGGCACTTCAGGACACAAGCTTTTGTGGAGCATCCAGATGAGCATGTACAAACATGTTAGCCAACACAAGTTAATGGGCCAGTTTCCACTGCCTGGGTCTTCAGCTCCTCCCTGCCCTCAAGCCCAGCTCTTTTACTGCTCCATCAGCCAGCATGCCACCTGTCACAGTTCAGGGCAATTGCACCTGTACTCCCCCTCTGTGGTCCAGCAAGGGCACCCGCTTTCAGGCTTCTGGCTCCCCTGGCTGTCACTTCTCTTGGGTGCATCTCTCTCCCTTCTGACCAGGGTATCTCCAGGCTGAACAGTTCTCTGCCTTCACTGTGTTATTATCAGTAAAAGACAGGCTCTCGGAGCAAGCTTCTCTTGTCCTCTCTTCAGAGGTGAAGACACCGTGGTGAGTAGATCTAAGTACGTTATTCACGTAGCTGAAGTTGCGTAACTTAGATCAATCTCTCCCCCATTTCTTCCCCCCCCACTGTAGACCAGGCCCAGGGGGTTTCAAGTTCATCACAGCTTCAGCTCAGAACAAGTACACTAATGACAAGCTTAGTCCACTCCTTATACACCCCTTATACCTTTGATCTGGAGTTTCCAGGAGAAGGTAATTAGCAGACACTTGGTTTCTCTTCCCAAGGCATAAGTTCAAAGGGATGGATTCCAATGGGTCATTTGCATTCCCCTTACTCGCAGGTATTTCCTAGGAAATCCACTTTACATGCATTGTTCCAAAAGGTCCTTTGAAGTTCCTCATATTGCATTAATTGCAATTAAATGCAGATTACATTCATACTGTCTTCTGGCTAACAAAGTTCCATACAATTTCACAATAGTACATAAATGTGCATTTTTAATACAATGGCCCCAAAGGTATTATACTTAATGCAGTAAAGTTTCTTAATTTCATAAAGTTTGTCCAGAACATTGCAGGACATTGTTAATCTGTCACATCTCCTCAGAGCTCCTCCTTAGCCAGCTGGCAAGGCTATCTGTTGGCAAGCTGCCACTAAGGCTTCCCCTCCCCTTCTGGCAGACCAGCTTTTCCCCACTCAGATAACACCACAATCCCATCTCCTTCATTTGCACTTGCTCCGTCAGCCCTGCCCCTACAATACACAAATTGAGAGGGAAGGGGTTAATGTTTATGCATTAATATAGATGCACATACATATACGATAAACTCTGTGCCAAATTCTTATCTCTGCTATGGTTGTGTAAATCAAGTGTCCAGTTATCAGTAGAGTTATCTGTGCAGCTGAGATCAAAAAATCTCTCCTTTTGTTTAAAAAGGAGAGAATCAATTTCACTTAACATCTATCTTCATGTCTAATCACTGAAACAAATACACCCCTATTTATATCCATGTGTAAATAACCAGATATACACACCTGAATAACCACATTCTATGTACAATAATCACTATGAAAAGTGACACTACACGTATTTTGTAAACTATTTTCAACTACTCAACCAGTCTTCTCCCAAGCTTGGCAAAGCCTACATTCCTCCCAGAGTTCTCCATACTGCAAATGCCAAATCCAGGTTTTTACAACCAAAGTACTACAGCAGGGTGGATAAAAATCATTATATTAAAATATATATAATGGAATTTTATGTAAATTAAATACCTTTTATTTTTAAAAATAAACAGAAAATTTGAAATTATGACAACCTATGTTTAGTCCAAACTTACCATAACCTATTTAAAGCATTTAAATAAAAAATATATTCAAAGAGTACATGTTTGCTGCAAAGTTTTAAATAAAGTCAAACCACTGAACTGGTGGAAGTCATTGGCTTAGCCTCTGGAACCAGGGATTGTTGTAGAGCTAGCCCAGATTTTGACAGCAGTAACCTCTTCTGAAGTTGTAGAGAATATTTTCTTCATTTCATTCACGTAGTTCAGTTCATTAGCTAGTTAATTCAAAGTTAAGAAACCAATTAGGAGTTGAAAAAACATGGAAGCTTGTTTTCCTCTTCCAATCTATGAATAAAAATTCAGTGTGAGAGTGAGATCTACTAGTTCTAAAATCTTGAAGGACATAGTGACTAGAAACAATCAGTTCAATTCACTAACTGCAGATACTTCCTTTATTTAATAAATCAGTTTTAAATGCAGAACATGCTTTGACAAAAATAATTTTTTTCCTTTTGTGTCCAGCACATTTAAAGTAAGTTTGATTTAACTAATAAAAACCTTTAAATGCTGTTTTTGTGAATTTCTAATTTAATTCCAATTTCCATCCAAATAATTTGACACACAAAAATAAAAAAATCTAGTAAATAAGAAATATAATTTGCCATTTTCTAACATATTAAAATGTGTAAAAACTAAAATACTGAATAAATGTATTTTAAGCTAAATAATTGCTTAGATAAATATGCGTAAGATATAGTGTATCCTCCCTGTTTAAATCAATTCACTTTGGTCCTCAGCATGCCAAAAAACCCACACCCGAACAATTTTTTTATTGTAAAAAAACAAAAAAAAGCCCACCTTTTCCCCACATTCATAATTCAAATGACTAAAAGGATTTTGCGGCACAACTAAGCATGACAAATTTAGTGCCAAAGTGTAATTTTTTGTCCCTCTTATAGATACGAGTACTTGGAGAGGTTTTGAATCAAAGGGTCCCCTTTCTCAACCATTATTATAGCCTTATTCTAGTAATTCCACCGCACTTTGGAGTTGTTGTTTTTTTAAGTAATTAAGGAGGTTTTCCACAGGGGATCATAAATCTAACTGACTGTGGGATTAAAAAACAATTGCACTTCCCAACTTGTCATAATTTATCTAAAATTGCCCTTGCATCATGATCTAAGGAAATGCTTCAAGAAGGCTAGAGTTTAGGAAAAGTTGCAAGTCTCCTAGTCCATTTTTAGCTCTTACTCAGTGGCTCTCACTGTAATAATCAAATATTTTTTTTATTTTTTTAGGTGGGATGCAGGATTACAACTACATCTGGGGACAATGTTTTGAAATTACGTTGGAGTTGTCATGCTGTAAATATCCACCAGCAAGTCAACTTCAGGCATTCTGGAATGACAACAAAGCTGCTTTAATTGAATACATTAAACAAGTTCATCTCGGTGGGTAAACTTTTGTATTTTGAATTTCATCTGCTCAACTTCCAATACAGCTTGTAGGGAAGTTCCTGTAACAACATGGTCATGTAACAGGCTCTCCAGCAACAGGCTAGAACCAAGAGAACTACTTCTGTAAGGGACTTTGCCTTTCAGTATGAAATCTGGTTTTTCTTGATTCTTGCTGAATTAAGAGATGGATGTAGCAGAGAGCTGTGTGTGCCATCCTCATTTTAGAAACAATATTGTGAGCATGATGGTGGCTAAGAGAGGATAGTGAGACAGAGAATGCTGCCCAGAAGTGACTGGGACATCTGGAATATTAGCATTGTGAATGCATTTGTTCATAGGCCATTCTGAAGAAAAATGCAGACTTTTTTTTTTAAACTGAACAATGTAGGTGAACCCCATTTAACCTGAGATTGGGGTTTGAGAAAAGAAAGGAAATCTCCAAATTAAGTGTATGTGAACATATCCATTTACTGTAAAAGCTGTGTTATCTGGCACCTTACCAACCAGAAAGCTCTAGAAACTGGCATTTCTGATATCTCCAAGTTCAAATCTTCAGAAGGGTTGCCAGGCTCCCTACCTGGCTCCATGTGGCTCCCATGTCCCTGCTGCTTCTAGGCGGAAGAACAGCCATGGGGGCTCTGTGCGGTACTCCTGCCTCACCCCGAGCACTGGCTCCACAGCTCCCATTGGCTGGGAACTGTGGCCAATGGGAGTTGCAGAGGCGGCACCTGCGGGTGGAGGCAGCATGTAGAGCCGCCTGGTCGTGCCTCCACCTAGGAGCAGCAGGGACATGAAGCCACTTGCAAGGAGCTGCCGAGGTGAGCGCTGCCAGGATCCGACACCCCGAAGCCCCTCCCACGCCCCAATCCCCTACCCCAAGCCCCCTCCCACACCCAAACTCCCTCCCTCCATTGGTAAGTATAACTCAGTTAACTGGAATTTTTGACTAACCAGCACCCTGTATCCCCCCAACATGTCGGACAACAAAGCTTTTACTGTATCTAGCTTTATTAAAATTGGATAGATACGGCCATAGTAGTGACACATACCAGTCAGAGCCATAATCCAGCTTTCACACCTATTAGGGGCAGTGAGCAGCGACCAGCACTGATTAAAATAGAAAGCTGTAGAAAGACGCAGCCATTCTAAGAGACATTTATGAAAAAGCTTTTTTAAATGAAGACTGACAAAACATATCATTTGTGTCAAATGGGAAAAGGGTAGGGCTTACTTTTTGTGGGTTTGCTCATTTAGGATCCAGGAGCTATTAAGAGCAGAATTCATCTGCCTTCCTTATTTCTGACAGCCATCCAGGTTTCAAAGTATTGATTAAAACCTCGTAAGCCACTGACCACACAAAGGGCCCATTTTTGCAGCTGTTCTCTGCACAGATCTTCCCACTGACCTCTCTGGTGCTTCTATATTGCAGAGCAGCTACAGAACTGAAGTCACCTAAAATAGAGACTTGTGTCCACCCAGTCTTTGGGAAGTGGACTCCAGTGGGCAGTGTTCAATACAGGGTCCTCTGAGGAGTCAGACAAATATCACAGCCTCTGCCTCCATCCTATGGGTTCAGGAGGGAAAAGGAGTGAGAAAGATGCTGGGATCTAAAATCTACAGGGGGTCCATCCCTGGTGCAGACACGTGCTGAGGGGGAGAGGGGCATACAGCCAATATTGGGCACAGGAGATTAGAATCTATAGTAGTTAGGTGCAAGGGGAGAACACAGATGAAGGAGCATGGCTCAACTACTTAGGAAATTAAAGGCTTCTCCCGCTCCTCTGTGGCTTTACTGAGGTGTCAGAGCTAGGAGCCAGTTGGAAGCAGCTGGCAACTGGTATTGCCAGCCTCAGGTGTTCAAAACTCATTAGTAAGGTTAAGATCTTGTCACGGTTTTTAGTAAAAGCTGTGGACAGGTCACAAGCAATAAACAAAAATTCATAGAAGCCCATGACCAGTCTGTGAGTTTAACTAAAAATAATTGGCAGGGGAGAGGCTGATGGGGGATGATGAAGCCCGAGCCCTGCTGTGAGGGGCAAAGGGGGTTTAGCAGCCACTGCCACCATGGCAGCTCCGGGTTCCCTGCCACTCACAGAGGCTGGGAGCTCTGGGTCCCCCCGACTGGCCAAGCCAGCTCAGGGCTCTGGGTCCCCACTGGCTGACAGCTTCAGCCCCTGCACCCCACGGCTGAAGCGGAAAATGTCAGAGATCTCTGAAAGTCATGGAATCCATGACTTCTGTGACCTCCATACCATAATCTTATCCTTTTTCATTAGTCATGCCCCATCTCCGCCCCCCAAAATCCCAGGATATTAGCTTAAACACAATAAGATTTAAAAAATAATAATTTGGCTCCTCTTTATTTGCCTTCTGGTTTCTAAGCAACTAGGATGTACTGAGGTCACGTTTTAAACTTTTCTTCACAACCATGTGGGCTGCAATCTTACTTTTCATTTTAAAACAAAACAAAACATGAATTTGGAGGCTGTGTCTCTAAGACAGTCATCAAGTATTGCAAGATTTGACAGAATTGCAACAGACTTCAGTCTTACGATATTAGCCCTTGAGAAAACCGTCCACCTATGCTCCTCATATGCTCCCTAGTACGAAGGAGGAGAGAGAGGAAATTTTGCCCTGCTTGCCCAGCAAGGACTGAGCTGAAGCCTTCGTCACTCAAGGAGTACTGCCTTATGTCACGCCGATGGAACCCTCCCAGCCCCTCCCTCTGCCAGGAACGGGACAGAAGTCACAGAACTCACCCTCATTACACTTTTTTTTCTGAGCCTGCAAACTGTGGTTTAGAATGAGTTTTCTGCACAGTGTGGTGCACCTAAAAGTGACGCCCTCACTTCAAAGGGTGCGGGGATCCTGAGCAATTTACAGTGGGCTGGGCGGGATTAGAGATGGCAGTTTGTATTGGGATGTTCACTAATTAAAGACAGTTGTAGGGTTTCACTTCAGAGAAAACCAGCATGGGGAGAAGGAATTAGATTTTTTTAAGTGACGTGTCGCAACCCTGCCCCCATGTGGGCAAAGGCTGGCAGTGCTAGAGGGCAGCAGCTTTTAAATGGAAGCGAGCAGTGATTTAACAGAGACCAACCCACAGTGCACTCCCATTAACAAGAGACATTTCCCTGTGCAACAGCTTTCATATGGGTATTAACGCCCCTATAGGTCTTATGGGCATACAGTGCTTGAATAGGAGCCTGCTCATATGGGCCCTGATTCCATATCCTGGAAGGAAAACGTACGTGCACATTTCTAGTTAGCATACTTATGTATTTTATAGCGTACTATAGAATTAGTGTGTTTGTAAAATTTGTTATAAAAAAAACCTGAGGGCAGGGAATTGTCAGGATTCACAGGCAGAAATACACCCTGCTCTTTAAACTTGTCATAGATCCTTGAAGCCCCAGTCATAGACTAAGACCACATTGCGCTAGGCATTGTATAAACACAAAACACTGTTCCCGCCCCAAAGAGCTTGCAATCTAAGACTATATCTACACTATGAGCTAGGGGTGCCATTCCCTGCTCACGTACACCTACACTGATGAAAGTTAGCATGAGTATGTGTACACAGGCCCACTGGGAATCACACCCCTAGCTGGTAATATAGACATAGTCTAAGTCATTGTTTCTCAATGACTGGTCTGTTGACCGGCATCGGTCCCTAAGATCACCCTAACAAAGTTTAGGAAGGCAGTAAGTTGCTCCCTAGTATCAAAAAGGTTGAGAAGTACAGGCCTAAGTAATCTTCGCTTTCTGAATAGTTTAAAAAAAAAAAAAGTTAGGTGCCTACAGATATTTTGCTTTCAAGGAAAAACATAAGCAGTGTGGTAGATGGCCAAAATGGGTTTTCTTCCCTTACATAATTTATCAGTGGAACATGAGGGGAAGCCCACAGGGTTCTACAGTGTAGTAATATTTCATATGCAAGAATACCTTGCAGCAACTAGCAGTCTCAGCATAGGTCCTTATTTTGGGTTTGTTATTCTGCCAAAGTTTATATACAAAAACATATTCCCAAAAAACCTCTGTGTAGAGATGTGCTTTAGATGTTAATAAAGAATTGCAGGCCAGGACTTGTGGTATCAATTGGAACCGGAAAAGGTTCAGGAAAGGGCAACCAAAATGATTAGGGATATGGAACAGTTTCCATATGAGGAGAGATTAATAGGACGGGGACTTTTCAGCATGGAAAAGAGACGACTAAGGGGGAATATGATAGAGGTCTATAAAATCATGACTGATGTGGAGAAAGTAAATAAGGAAGTGTTATTTACTCCTTCTCATAACACAAGAACAAGGGGGCACCAAATGAAATTAATAGACAGCAGGTTTAAAACAAACAAAAGGAAGTATTTCTTCACACAATGCACAGTTAACCTGTGGAACTCTTTACCAGAGGATACCAGACTATAACAGGGTTGGAAAAAAAAGAACTACCGGTAGTTAAATTCATGGAGGAGAGGTCCATCAATGGCTATTATTCAGGATGGGCAGGGATGGTATCCCTAGCCTCTGTTTGCCAGAAGCTGGGAATGAGCGACGGGATGGATCACTTGACGATTACCTGTTCTGTTCACTCCCTCTGGGGCACCTGGCATTGGCCCCTATCAGAAGACAGGATACTGGGCTAGATGGACCTTTGGTCTGACCCAGTATGGTCGTTCTTATCTTCTATCCACTGGCCATGCTTCTCATATTAAAGATGAAAGGGCCTGAAATTTGCCTAACTGAAAGCTGCAGCCATTCTTATTTTGGTCCCTCAGCTGAGTAAGTTTGGATGGCCCTACTTTATACTGCACCTCTGTCTGAAATGGGACTGTACATACATAATTTGAACTGGTATAACTGTTCTGGGGACCAGAAGGAGGTAAGAGTCAGATCAGTTGAAAGTCTTTGGGTAAAAAAAAAAAAGGGAAAAAATCAGCATGATATCATGGTAGGGGTTGACTCTAGAGCACCAAATCAGGAAGAAGTGGAGGAGGTATTTCTTGGGCAAACAACAGAAATACCCAAAACACAAGATGGGGTAGTAATGGGAGACTAACTTCCCAGATATCTATTGGAAAATTAATATAGCAAAACACAAAATTTCCAATAAGTTCTTGGAATATATTGGAGACAATTTTTTGTTTCAGAAAGCGGAGGAAGTAACCGGGGGATAGCCATTTTAGACTGACCAAGAGGGAAGAATTGGTTGTAAATCTGAAGAGGGAAGGCCATTTGGGTGAAAGTGATCATGAAAAGACAGATTTTACAATTTTAAGGAAAGGAAGGAGTGAGAGCAGCAGAATAAGGAGAATGGACTTCCAAAAAAAGCAGACTTCAAAAACTGGTAGGTAAAGTCCCATAGGAAGAAAATCTAAGGGATAAAGGAGAGTTCAGGACAGCTGGCAGTTTCCCAAGAACACAATATTAAATGCCCCACTGCAAACTGTCCCTATGTGAAGGACAGATAAGAATAGTAAGAGGTCAATATGGATTCATCAGAAGCTCTTTAATGACCTGAATATCAAAAAGGAATCTTGCAAAAGTGGAGACGTAGACAAATTGCTAAAGGGGAATACAAAAGAATAGCATAGGTATATAGGGAGAAAAATCAGAAAGGCTACGGCACAAAACGAATTACACCTAGCAAGCGACATAAAAGGCAATAATAAGAAGGGGTTCTTTAAATACAGTAGGAGCAAGAGAAAAACAAAGGAAAGTGTAGCTCCTCTACTTAGCGAGGAAGGACCGCTAATAACGGATGACATCAAGAAGACTGTTTAATGACTATTACGTTTCATTCAGTCTTCACTAGGAAGGTTAATGGTGACTAGATATTGAACACAATTACTATTAACAACATTGGTGGGGGAGAAGGAAACGCAAGCGAAAATAGGGAAACAACAGGTTAAAGAATATTTAGATAAATTAGATGTATTCAAATTGGCAGAGCCAGATGAAATTCATCCTAGGGTAATTAAGGAACGAGCTGAAGCAAGCTCAGACCACTAGCAATTATCATTAAGAACTCCTGAAGGACTGGAGAGGGGAGACTAAACATAGTACCTATCTTTAGAAAGGGCAACAATGAGGACCTGGGAAATTATAGGCCAGTCTGCCTAATCTTCATACCTGGGAAGATATTGGAACAAACTATTAAACCAGTTTATAAGCACCGAGAGGATAACAAGGTTACAAGGTGTGACGAAGTGGGGTTTTATTCATCTTATGTTGCATGTGAGTCTTACTGTCCTATACTAATATTGTGGGTACCTCTGTTTCCCTGTGTACTGCACCAATATTTCGATGGTGGGAATTGGGGGTGTGATTTTTGCTGAGGCCCTTGGGGCAGGTGAGGCTGCCCAGCTGTCTGCACATATGTAACCCGAGACACAGGAGACATCTTTTGCCCGGGAAGCAGGAGTACAGAAATCAGTTTTAAGACCCCTTAATGTCGGAAAAATGGCTTCGTTGTGTGGAAGGGTGCAGGGTTAATCCAATTTAACGCTGCTAAATCCGACATAAATTCGTAGTGTAGACCAGGCCTATAACAGGTGGTGGTAGGGTTATTTATTGTTGCAGTAATTTGGAGCAAGAGATACACATTAGCCTTTTGCCCATGATCCTTGATTATTCAAATGTGGTTGACTTTACTAATTAATTTTAACAGATAGATATTCTTTTAGAGGACACACATATACAATGAAATCTGGATTTAATACAGCACTTTTTAAACATTAGAGTAAGGTTTATCAACCTGTGGGTTTCATCGAACAAGTAAAAAAAAAAAACCAACAATAATATGGGCCGGGGTAAGTGGATCTGAACCCACAACCTTTACACAGTGGCAAGGTTGCTACTGAGCCAAAATTATACATTTAATTAAATATACTGAATAAAATAGCAGAAACTGAGCTAACACACTTCATCAATATTGTCTCAAATAGCTGTTGCAGACAAGTCAGTTAACAAAACTGCTCATTCTTGGAAATCTGGTGTGTTAGAAGATTTGGGAAGGCTAAAATATAAGTAAATATACAACTACTCTGTCTTTTTGAAACACTAGGCGAGAAGCAACGTTTGACCACACCAACAGGGTAAATGAGTTTTTGTTTTAAGCTAGGTAAATAAATTCAACCGCATAAAAGAGATTTAAGTAAGTTCTTTTGTAGAGAACACGTGCAGCAACATCAATGTAAACTACGAAATTGTACCTTTAGAGAATGAGATGGAAAAGCCGACATGGCTGCATTTTAACTTGATGGGAAGGTAAATGATTAAGAACTAAGAATTTTGTGCTGCTGCTACTTATTTTCGTTAGCAATATGTAGGAGACTGGCTCTATTGTCTAGTTTGGGGAGGAAATGACTGAAACAAGCCTCTGCTGCAATGAATGATGAAAAAACTGGCTTTTCCAGACCAGAAAATGAAACCAACAGTCACATTTACATACTCTCTCCCTGCCTCATAGGTATCAAAGGTCAAGTTCTTGACAGGCATGGACAGCCTATACCAAATGTAATAGTGGAAGCCAAAGGAAGGGAACATATCTGTCCCTATAGAACCAATCAACATGGAGAATATTACCTTCTCCTCCTGCCTGGAAGCTATGTGCTTAATGTAAGATGACTACTCTGCTAAACCTTCGTTTCTAAATTATGTTCAGAGAGTTCTTGAAATTGCCAGAGACAGGAGCCTATAAAATTAAGGTGTTGGGGTTTGGATTTTTGTTTTGTTTTAATAAAATAAATGTACAGTGTCGACACAGGGCAGTGGGTTCCCCTAACTGCTGAGAACAGCCCTTCACCTCTTGGTAACATCATCAATCAATATTCATCTATTTAGCAATACCCATTACTTATTGAAAAGTGAGCAGGTGAGAAGTACAAAAGGCCTCATGTGGACACAGTACATGGGGAGGGGGAATGGCAAGGACTGGCATGACAGAACAAAATCTCTTTCATTCAGAGGCCTTTTAAATAGTAGTTGCATATTTTTAGGGTGAGCAGGATTAGATTTTTATTGGATAAGTGTCCATAAATGTTGATTTCATCATACACATACCACCCCAACCAAAACTATTTCCATTCAGGATAATCAAAATTGAGAGGCAAAGTAAGAAAAATGTTGCTTAAGAAATTATTAGAGCTTGATTTAAGGATATTTACTTTCTGTGTTTTGACATGTTGACAATTTGTCAAATCTAAAAAAATGCTTAAAAAACAAACATCCATAGTATCCATCGAAAATATCAAAATATAAAAAATGCAGTCAAGCCTGCCTATTTCGAATGTTTCCAGTTGAGGCATAGTGCTGCTCTGAAAAGTGACTATATAAAAAAATGGCCGCTCATTGTGTATGCAGAGCCATATTTGCCCACTTGAATGAGAAAAATGAGTACAGAAAATCCTGTTTTCTAAAAAGAGTGCAAAGTTGGACAAACTATCAGCATTTTCTAAAGCCTAATATCTAGGTGGTAACGTGACAGGCCTTCAACTAGTGGCAGGTTTGTCTTAATCAGTCAAATCCCAGTAGTGCTGATAACTTAAGATACTGCATTCTAAATGGTAACAATTTTTGCAGGGATCTCAGGATTTCTGTGGCCATAACCAAAGAAGTCATTGTGGTTGATAAGGGAACAGAACTTGGAAATTGCTGCTCTGGGACTAGCCTAAATAACTAGAGACTGGATGGCAACTTTACATGTACTGGCAGAGGGCAGCAATATTCAGTAGAACGAGACAGAGGGCTGTGGAAGGGGAAAAGTGGTGGCTCCCTTCTATACTACCTCTCTCACAACCTGTGGAAGTCCCTTTGCAGGACTTCTGCTTCCACCTCCAGGGATGTTGCACACTGTATAGAAAGTAACTTGCTTGATTTAAGATGGAAGAGTTGCATCTTAGAGTTCTCTTTCTAATACTTGGTCTTTGCATCAGTTTCATAAATTTGAAATTCTTAAAGGCCAGCCTTACTCTGAAAAGTGACTGTAAAAATGCTATTTTGGGGTTCTATGCTTATTGCTAAGGCTAAGATTGTGTCATGGATATTTTTAGTAAAAGTCACAGACAGGTCACAGGCAAAAGAGAAAAATTCATAGAAGCCCGTGACCTATCTGTGACTTACTAAAAAATATACCTGACAAAATGGGGATCTGCAGGTCCCCACACGGCCTCAAGCGGAGCAGCTGCGCAGGGGCTAGGAGCTGCCCGCAGCAGCTGGGGGCTGCGGGGTATCCCTGCTACCCACAGCTCTGGGGGTCCTCCACTGCCCATGGGGGCCAGGACTGCGAGGTACCCCGGCAGTGGCAGCCACGAGCTGTGGGGGTTCCCCCGCCACCTGTGATGACTGAAGCTCTGGGGGCCGCCGGAGGTACCCCTGCAGCTCCCTGCCCCCGGAGGAGGCGGGGGACCCTGCAGCTCCCAACCACCGCAGGCTGAAGTCACGGCGGTCACTAGTAGCCACAGATTCCATGACTTCTGTGACAAAATCGTAGCCTTACTTATTGCTTCAGTGGATTTTCGCATCAGATGTCTGTTTACAAGTGATGAGATTTTTTTCCTACCTATGCCCTATAAACTTATATTGGGGATAAAAGTGAAGCTAGGTTTTTCCTTCTAATGCATCACCACAACTGACAGATTTTGCAGGCCAACTTAGGCCTTTGACAGCATCACTCAGCTCTTCAAAAGAGTTTCATAGATTTAACTAATTGTAACTTAATACACATTTCTGTTAATTTACAAGATAGAATAAAATCCACTGCTCACTCAATCTTAGCTGTGTTGACTCCGCAGAGCTACAAGAGTAAACACATCACTTAAGTTAACAGATATGACTCTGCACCTTGCGAGGGGATTGACTGAGTAAGAAGCTGCCATTTTATACAGTCACTTTTCAGAAGAATAGAATCTCATTTAAAAAAAATAAATACACTTCCCAACCTACAGCCAGCAAAGTGAATGACAGTTGTTGACTCTAGTTGTTTGGCCTATGCAAGGCAGAGACTCCCATCTAAATGTTAATACATGCAACAAGCAGCAAGGAGAAATCCTAACTGATGTCAGAGGTCATGGTAATATAGTTATTATTCCCTGTGGATATTTCCATCCAGTATGGACAAACACATTCTGAGTTCTACCCAGCACTTTACTCTTGTTCCTAGCCTCTTAAACAAAGTATTCTTATTTCGGCTCACTCAATGCAGACGTCATTTCTTTTGCTCTGATAATTTGAGTCATCCAATAGTTCATTGTTCATTCATCATTAGCCAATAAACCAGCTAAAGCAAAAGTAACTAAATCCCTTTTGTTCTCTGTGAAAAAGTTGCCAAGAATACCTAGTATGTTTTCTCCTCTGTTATCTATGTTATTGCAATTAGACTTAAACATATGTAAAATATTTCTCTCCCTTCTCATTTAATGTTCACTCTATACTTTACTTTTATCTTTACTTTCACAATCTACCTAACTAATTTATGCAGGAGGAGCGCTACATCTAATCTCTGCATTAGATGCAAAGAAGCACTCTACAATATTTGTAAAGTAAATTATGTAACTAAAATGACTAGAGCTAGCATGTTAAACAAGCTAGTAAGAACATTTTCTTGTTTGTCCTTAGGCTACAGCACCCGGATCTGGATCAATACTAAAAACACTGCTAGTACCAAACGGTCCTGAAAACTTCAGTGCTTTGAAATATGACTTTGTTTTCTCAGAGGTCTCCACCATAGCAAGAGATGCTTCGTGCCCTACCAAACCTCTTTATCCAGATTTTGAAACCATTTCAGCAGCAGTAAAACCTACTTTGCATTTCTTGGCTTTAATGACTGTTTTGTATACAGTTTTCAAGGAAGAATTAGGTGAAACTTGAAAACATTATCTCTAGCACATCAATGCACAAATGTGTTTTTTAAGAGCTAAAAGTTGTATTTGCAAAAGAGTGTATATTATTGTATAATTGAATACCGAGGGTTTTTTTAATCAAGTTTACTATATTTTTAAAATGTTGGCCGGACAATCAATAAATGTTTTGCCTGTTTAAATGTACCAGAATAATGCTGATATCCATTCCCCTTTTGTAAGATCAAGCTTGCAGCAGGTTTGTCTTCACAAGCTGAAGGTAGCTCAGGTGTCTGTCTGCACCACAGATATACCAGACCCAGACCTATCAATCTTCACCTGAAAACAGTGTCATCTCCCACACTGTGTAACTCCTCCTGTTAATTTCCTTCTGAAGTCCCTGTAAGCTCTTCATTGACACTTGACTCAGTATGCTTATAGACTTCTGTTGTAAGACACAGAATGGTCCACCAGGGATATAAGTGTCTCCCACCTCCCTGTCTGGAGAAGTATGTCTCAAGGCATGCTACCTTTGAGTGACCTGCCTTTGACTACAAGGCCACGTGAGCATAATTTTCAGCATAGATACATAACCCCTCAGATGTTCTCTGTACGTACATCTCACAATCACAATGACCAGTGTGAAACAGGCTTTCAGTAGAGACCTTTCATGATCCCTTTTTGGTAAACCCCAGGGATCCCTGAACCCATATGTGCTCCTCTGCCCTTGGGTCACTGTAATCCTATCAAACAGAGAAGAAAAAAAAGTCTCACTTAAGGAAGTTGAAAGCTGATCTAACAGTCCTCCAGAAACTCCACCTCATTGAACCTGAGGCTTTTTTTTAGTAATTACCCAGCCATGTCTAGGGAGGCGTCAATCCAGTTCAATAAAAAATTGAACCCATAAATCCTATCAACTGATAAAGTCATGGAAGGAAAGCTCTTAATTGTTAATGCTAGCATCTCCCACGTTACGCACACTTTTGTTAACTCTATGCCCCCAACAAAGATGATTCCTCCTTTTTCAATCAATTATTTTGAGATTGACTCGTCCCTAGGAAACCAGATTATATCAAGGGACTTCAGTGAAATGTTAGATCTGCTTTTGGACAGATCGAGCAGACTCCACCATTCCTGGTCCTCGGTGAGGCAGACCATTACTGCCCAGACGGAAGAACGGGGCTGAAAGGACACGTGGAGGCGGCAGCACCCTCGAGGTAGAAACAATTCCCCTTTTTCTCACTCCTGCATTCCCTATAATCACAGTGGGAATGTTTTTTTGGTATCAGGTGGCTTGATATTTCTTTATTATTGAAATACCACCTATTATGATCTTTGATCACGCTACTCATCTCCTGAAATGTAGGGGCTACCAGAAGATGGAGATTAAACTCCTCTTTACTAGTAGAGACACAATTTTAAAAAACTTTGTGGAGGAAGAAACACAATTTTTCTTTGAGACCAGTGACAACACTATGAACTCCCAAGCAATCTCACTGGACACTTTCAAGGCATACTTAAGGGGAAGAATATCATCCTACTTCTTTCATAAAAAGAGAGCTAGGCAGGGTGAGCTGGTGAATTTAATGTAAAGGCTCAAGGAGGCAGCTCTCAGCTATGCTGATTCTCCCTCTTCTGATAAACTCCAAGATATGAAATTAATACATTAACCTCGGCTCAGGCTGAATTTACTTTGTTTAGAGTAAAACAGACATACTAGGAATTCAGCAACAAAACTGGGAAATTAATTCACTGAAAGCTAACATCCCCTCAATTCACTCGTCAGAGGCAGATACTCACCACTCAAAAACATATTAATGAACAATTCTCTACATTCTACCAATGCCCATATTTAAAGGAAGACTCCCCTGATGATTAATTACTTGAGGAATACACCAAAAAAACCTGCAATTCCCCCAGCTAACAGAAGAACAAAAAATTTGGCTTGGCTTTACAAACTTGTGAGAGTATGGAACAAGAAATTGGGTAAGGCCCTGGCCTCAAAGGCTTTCCTGCTGAATTTTATGCCCAATTCAAAGACAGACAGTCTGGCTCCCAGACTGGCCACAGTATAAACTGCCCTCTTCAATGAATGAAGCCCTAATCTCGGTAGGTTTTAAGCCTGACAAAGATGCCTAGGAACATGCTAGCTATTTACTAATATCCATAATCAACTCTGATATTAAAATATTGTCTAGAATCCTAGCTGGATGATGAGAAAAAGCAATGAGGAGCATAATACACCTGGACCAGGTGGGTTTTATACTAGAGAGACAAGGGTCAGAAAACACTCATCTTAATGTGCTGTCCTACTATCAAAACCACTTGAAACTGATGGCTATTCTGTTGGTGTTTGTGGGAAAAGCCTTCAATAGAGCAAATTGGATGTATTTTTTCCTCATCCTATAAAAATATGGACTTTGTCCCTCTTTCATTTCCTAGGTTAGACTTGTGTGCTCCAATTCCAAGTTACAACCAATAACTACATCTCCCCTCTTTTCAGTCTCTAGTCCCACAGTAACAGACAGAGCTGTCCCTGCCTTCCTTCCTATTTGATTTGGCCTTGGAATACAACTTAGAGCACGCTAGGGGATCCAAGGTATTACACATAGGGTCCTAACAGACAAAAATATGCTTCTGTGCTGATACACTTTTATTTATCACCAACCCCCCCTCAGGCTACCCCCAACATATTACAAAACCTTTGAATTGTTTGGGAAAATCCCAGGGCACAAAATTAATTGGCACAAGTTGGAGGCTGTCAGTATCTCTCAGAAAGTGCATAATGTCACCCTCTTAGACAAAACTTTTCGCTGGCAACAGGAGGAAATCAGTCACAGGCTTGGCAGTCTGCTTTTCTAGGAATATAAAGAAAGTCAAAATTAATGTTAATCCTCTTATCGCACTGATATCTTTGGATTTACATAGATGGCAGGCCCTCCCTCTATTGCTTTGGGGTAGAGTTTAATATATGAAAGATGAATGTCCTTCTAATGCTTCTATTTATGCTTAGCTCCTTGCCAGTTTATAATTACCCTTCTGGTATTTTTTTTTTCAGAATTAACATTTGTAAGATCTTCTTGTGAGGTATGGGCAACAAGCCCAGAATATCCTTTGAGAAAAACCATGACTGCCTATCAAATTAGGAGGCTTTGGGTCTACCAAACTATAGGCTTTACTATGTTATCCTCAGTCTTGAGACAAGTGGCATAATGGTTGGCCCTTCAACACTCAGGATCTCCAGCCTGGCTGTACATGGAAGGAAGGAACTGTAGCCCCACCACCACTAGAATCAATTCTAAAAATGAGTCTTCTACCATTTTCCTAAGAAGAAATCTGTCACAATTCTGACATCTTGGAAAGCTTGGTATCTGGTTGTGTCTGTTTAAATATCATCCCTTATTACATTCAAAGACTTCAGTTTGGGGTCATTCCAAAATTTTATAGACCCACTCTATGGCCTGACTAAATTTAAAAACAAAAACAAAAAAAAACACAAAAACACATTTTGAGCATTAATCACATAATTGAAAATGAGTCCTTCATGCTCTTTCCTTGTCTTAGGAAGCAGGAATGGCAATAATTTCATGCTCTGCGACACCAGTTTGGTTCAGATGCCTTTGCAGCCCCAGAATCCCTCACTTTGGAGCTTCCTGAAAAAGTTACACTGTCTACTTAAGTCGTTGTCTAGTCTGTATTCCAAACTATCAGGCAAATTGGCAATCAGTAGGGACAATGTTAGAAAGAAATGGGAAAATGAGTGATCAGTTTCCCTTACCAACATTCAGTGGAATCAGATTTGTTCCACTATACAACCCCAAATCTAGCAAGCTGTGTTAAGATAGGGCCAGTAGGAAATTCTTTGGAGAATGCACTGGATTCCATATATCCACTTTGGAGAATCCACTGGATTCCATATTTTCAAGTCCAGAATACCCAGGTTTAACAAATGCTGATGCTGCAATGCAGCAGGTGCTAAACTTACACCATATGCTTTGGGATTGTCCTGCGAGCTGTCTTTTCTGGACAGAGATAAATATATGGACCAATTTCTTTCTGTCCACTAATGTGGAACTGCAGGCTGGCCACACCATCCTAACCAATCCATCTTGGAAACTGAAGGCCTTTGAAACAGTATGGCTAGGTAGAACTTGATCACAGCCAAACATCTAGTTCTACAATGGTGGCAGTCCTAAGTGCACCCAACTATCGAAGAATGGTGTTTTCACATGGGGAACCTGGTGGCAATGGAACAAATAATGTTTTACAGCAGAAACAACCAAGTTTATAAATATACGGGTCCCATTTTTAGAAGCATTGGAATAATCAGTTATAAAGTCCCCATCGGGTAAACTTTTTTGCACCCACTACTCAGACCTTAGACCCCCTCCTGTCTCCTCAATCCATCGCCTTCCTCTTCCCCCTCTCCTCTCTGTCCTATCGTTCTTCTCCTCTCCTCTTTTATTTCCCTCTCAGGCTTTACCTTGGCCCTCCTTTTCCTCTCAACACTCCCTTTTCTCTTCTGCTTCTCTCTTTTTCTGAAAGGAAATAGCTCTGGAGATTAGTTTTCATCTTACTTTACAAAGAACCCCAAACTGGGACTGAATAATAAAATGACCATTAGTACATTACTGTGCAGGCAAATCTCTTTAGCCAGACAAAAGCTGTCTTTGTTATATTATTCTTTGCCCTTAATAATGAAATTTGATCTTACTTACTTTGCTGTAAAATCAGATGTTGGTTCTATTCCAGATTAGTTACCCTTCTTCTCTTTGTTTTTTATTGTTTATTTTAACACAGTTAACATAGAAAACAAAGACTACATTTAAAAAATAGTTGGGTTGGGCTGACGTATAATACAAAAAAGAAAGGAAACCTTCCCTCTGTAACTGGAGTTCTTTGACATGTGTGGTCCCTACCTATATTCCATTGTGGATACAAATGTGCTCCATGCACTTAAGACCAGAAGATTCTTGCTAGTAGCATCTGTTGGTCTGTGCCTGTGCTGTTCCCTTCCTAGTGTTCTGAAGCAAAGGTAGAATGGTCTCCAGTTCCTTCTCTACCGTGAATTGAACCTATGATCTGAAGAAGAGAGGAAGGAGGGCAGGTAGTGGAATACAGATAAGGACCACACATCTTGAAGAACTCCAGTTATGGAAAGTAGGTAACCTTTATTTCTTCAAGGGTCGGACCCTCTGTGTATTCTA